ATCCTTTCAAATGATACGTTTAGAATTAGTGCCAAAAAAAAAAAAAAAAAAAAAAAAAAAAAAAGCAAAATCCTAGCAGGGAGTGTCAGAGAGAGGGAAATACATGAACCTTCATATTTCCTAAAGAATACGTATCCAAAGGTAAACAGAGTTTGCAGTTGCTTTGACTACTGCTTACAAACATATGTTCAGTGTGTAAGTTAACGAGTGCATGGGTTATAGATGCTATATGCTTTGGTTACCTGGTTTTGTTTATAGTTTAGAGTGTAGAAGCCTTGGCTTGACAGTTTATAGAGACCCAGGATCCTAGGCAAAGATAGTCTTCAAGGAAGTGATTATCAAACAAACTTCTACTTTGTCTCCTGATCACAAATTCACTTATCAGTCTCTCTGGAAATAAATCTAGATAAAGAAGGGCAAACAGCACATAGCTTCTATATGCAGAGAAGTGCCAAGAAGAGTCAAAATAAGGCTAAAAATGAGCTTTCCAATAAGTTCATTTCATGGGTTGCGGGGGCCTGAGATACTGCATTTATAAGATGGCCAGACAGGATTGAAACAATTGGTAGGAAATGGATAGGTACAGCCTGAATGAGGAGCTGATTATTTTAATCCCTTTGAGTTACTGTGTCGTACTGATCCTATGACTGTTGAGACAAAAAAGGCCTTGAAACAGTGATGGGCAAGAGGAAGATTTTGTTGGTGAGGGACACTTAAATCTTAGTAATCAGTAGGATTCCTAGCCATAACCTCAGTATATTGTGTGGACTGCGTGGGAACTCATTGTTTTCTTATTTTGGTCATTCACCATGTCAGTGAATATGGTTTGTGTAGAACCCACTTGTGGAATGAATCTATGCTTGGTAATCTACAGTTGGTCAGCTGTCCCCTTCCTTGGGTGTTTGCAGTAGAGGAAGGTTATCCAGTCCTGAGAGGAGGCAGGATGCTAAGACTGGAATCCACAGTACATACTAGGATGGTGCAAGAGCTCAAAGTGGAGAAAGTAGGCAGAAAAGAGAACAGAACTATCTGTGCCAAAATGTTTCTGTACTATTCTGTAATTAATAGCTAATTACTCCAGGGATTTTAAGGTATGAAAGATAGGAATTTTTTTTTTGAAAAAAAAAAACAAAAAACAAATCAGAGTTGACTAAACAAAACAAATAAAACATCTGGTGGCTTTTGGCATTGTTCTGATGAAGTGCACCCAGCAGAATGCTCAGGTGTGGCAGGGTGAAAACAAAGGAAATCTGTGCAGCCCATTGAAAACCAGTACACAGAAACTGAGAGGGTGCAAGGAGCTCAGCATAGTGCACAGATGCCAGAGGATGCAAGAGAAATTTCAGAGGAGAAATAAGTGGGTTTTTCAACAGTAAACTCAGTTTCAGACCCATTGAGTCTGTGGTGGCTGGTTAAATATGCAGGTAGATTGATCCAGAAGGTTGTTGGAATTAATATCTTAAGGTACCCGTTTAGAAGTCATCATTTGCTGGAGCTGGAGAGATGGCTCAGTGGTTAAGAGCATGGCTGTTCTTGCAGAGGACCTGTGTTTGAATCCCGACACCAACTTGGTGGCTAACAACCGTCCATAACTCCAGTTCCAGGGGATCTGACATCCTCTTCAATTCAGTCCCCTGGGAGCATTGCACGACATGGGTGCACTTGCATAATACACACAATACACAGATACACATAAAATAAAAATAAAGCAAAGAAATGTTCTAATGAATATTTATATATTTCTTTGTTAATGAGTTTTTCTGTATGAAACAGTATATTTTAATATTTGTATATTTCATATAAACACAGAGTAGCTTTCCCCCACCTACTCCAAATAAGTGAAATTTAATTATATTTTTAATCAAGATAATTTTATGGGGATGGAGAGATGGCTTAGCAGTTAAGAGCATGGCTGTTCTTGCAGCAGACCTGTGTTATGTTCCCAGTACCCACATGGTGGCTAACAACAGTCCATAACTCCAGTTCCAGGAGAATCCAACACTCTTCTGACCTCCATGGGCATTGCACAACATTGGTATACTTACATGCATGCAGGCAATATACTTGTACATATAAAATAAAAATAATATTTAAAAAAATAAGTCACCATTTGTCACACAAGTACTTAAAACACCTAGAGGGACTGTAATGTGAGGGGAAAAAATGGCAAGAAATGGGAGAAAGGGTCCAAGACTGGCTGGAGAAAACAGAGGAAGGAGGAAAAGACCTAGATGACAGGAGTAGGGGTGGAATCAGGAGTCCAGAGAAACAGAATTTTAAGATACAGCTGCTGTCAATACAACTGGGTGAGGACAGGAAAGTCACTAGAAAGCACTAACTGGATGTCACAAATTCTAGCAGAACAGCAGATGGAAACTAACTGTGATTAAATGGGTGAGAAAACAAAGAATTGGGTGCTTTTTTAAAAAAACTTTCTTTTAAAAAGCTCTGCTTTTGAAGGAAAAGAGGTGGATGAGGAAACGCCTGACACCTACAGGAGTAGGGCATGATCATCTTTGCTTTTGCTTTGGAAGCAGAGCGCAGGGTAGATAGAACATGGCACTAGGAATTGTGTATGCCAAGTCCAAAACACACTGAGTGTCTCTTGGTCTCTGATGTGTCAAGCATTGGGAGGGACAACAGCAATGATATCCCATCTACATAGTGCTTCTTCCAAATGCTCCTCTGTGCCTTGTTTCACAGATAGGGATTCATCTACCTATCTGCTTTGGAAAATGGGTCTTCCTAATTGTCCCCATCTTCCTTGCAAGGAAACTGTAACACTGAGACATTAACCTGCCCAATCTGTCTTCTGCCTTCTTCCTTAAATTCTTCCATTAAATCCTTGATTTTAATTTTTTTTTTGTTTTATTAGTTTTTTATGTATATGGGTGTTTTGCCTGCATGGATGTAAGGGCACCCTGCCATGCAGTGCCTGCAGAGGCCAGAAGAGGGGTGTCACATCCCCTGGAACTGGAGTTACCGACCATTGTTAGCTGCCTTGTGGGTGCTGGGAATCAAACCTGGGTCCTCTGAATCAAACTCGGGCGAAGAGCAACCAGTGCTCTTAACCACTGAACCAGCTCTCCAACCCCAAATCCTAGCTTTTAAAACAATATATAGGATTACCAATCAGTGGATTTAGAGTAGTTTTGGTTGAGAGGTGAGATCAGGACCTTTGTTATAAACATAAGTCAGTTTTCATATAAAGGAGGAATTTCTCCAAGAAATGCACGTCTTTGTAATTATTTTTGTTGAAGGCTAAAAAAAATCATTGCCCTGCTTGACTCAGCCATATCGGAAGATGGGTTAGTGGGAGATACCAGCACAGAGTTAGGTTGTGGTGATAGAATTAAGTGAGAATTAAACGAACAATTTGGTGAGTAATTCAGAGTGGAAATCAGGGTAGGATTTATGGGAGGTGGGGGGGTGGAGGTGGGGCTGGAAATGATGGAGATGGTACAGTGCTGAAACAAAGATGATCTTAACCACATACTTGGATGAAGCTTGAAACTGTTTGCAGTCAGTTGGTAGTAGAATATATGAAAACTCGGACAAACTTTTGTATTCTCAACATAGTGCTCATCTTGATGGCTAAGCCTTTCTGTGTTTTATGCCTACCAGCAAAGATAGCATTATTTGAAGATCTACACGAATAATTAGGAATTTATTAATCTCTTACTCTAGTATTATCATTATTAACAGCAGCAGAAATTTCCTGTTTACATGAAATCTCGTTTTATCTTTATGAAGTCCCAGGAAATGGTGCCTTCTTACCCTCACTTCACAGCTGAGGAAACCTGGGCTTCTGGTCATTGTGTTCTGGCTAGAGTCACAAAACTAGAGAGCAGCAAAACTGAAGCACAAAGCAGGCAGTATAACTCCAGACTCAGACACTCAACCCTCTGTGCGCCTCACTAAATAGTGCCCCGAACTCTACTTCCTTCAGAGTTGCTCCAGGGCTACCCTAAGAGTGAGATGATCATTGATAGAAAAACCTTGTCTTTGAGTGCTACTGACTATAGCTGTTTGGAAATTGGCTTGTCAGAATGAATATTAGCAAAAAGTTAACCTAGTAAAAGAAATAGTTAAAATTTATCTTAATGAAGGTAGAAAAAGATTCTTTTGTCTTTAATCTTGCGGAGTCGGCCACTGAAACCATTTTTCCGTTTTTTTCTGTGTAAGGGGTTCTAACCTTTTGTAGCTGATGTTCTAGATATTTTTGGACTTAGGTTATAACAAGGAGAGATTTGATTAGCCATAAGGCAGGCTCTTGAGACAGTGGAATGGAATATAACTGTGTGGTTTTCATTCACCTTTTCTGTGTTCTGCCGCTGCTGGGGTGCAGTTAAGACAGCACTCGCTGCCTTGCATTTCATTTTATGGAGCTAATCATCCAGGGTTGGGGCCAGCAGTGAGAAACAGTAGACACTTCTCAGCTTTCCTATGGAAACTTAAAAAGGACTTGCTGTTGCTCCCCATCCTCTTACAGCATCAACATGATAAAGCCTCATGCTAAGGAACACTGGGACCAGCAGCTCCACACCAGTGCGATCACTGAAGCTGCTGCCTACCCCACTTGGATTTTCTTTTTCTAAATCCATATGAAAAGCTATGAAAGATAGCTTTCCTATATTAAATCTATATTAAAATATCAAACCTATATTAAAAGTTTTCACTTTCATTTGATACTAAAACCAGGTGGATGTTCTTAAGTAGCAGATTTACCCTAAATCTTCATCCATTGCAGTCCTCCCAGGAGCTCAAATTGGATGAAATCACGCTATTGCTTTCCAAGTGCTTAGTCCTTTAGAAAGTTCACAAAGTGAAACTTACACCCTTGACACTCTTGAAAGAATGTCTCTGTATTTCCCTACATTTATGTGGATATTCTTCACTGGCACATCCATGATATTATTGAATGTCTACTTCTGATACTAAAAGAATTTTTTGCTTTTGTAAAAAACTCTTTTCTTTCCCACTGATTTTTTTCCCTACAGGCTCAGTTTGAACTTAAGGCATTTCACATCAGGGGCGAGCATGCATTGACAACAGCGAGACTAGAAGAAACCATTGAAAATCTCAAACAACAATTAGAGCACCGATGGGGAGGAGGATGTGAGGAGATGCGAGATGCCTGCATCGCCACTGATGATGACTGTCCTCCAAAAGCCTACAGAAATGTGTGCATCCAGACAGACAGAGAGACCTTCCTCAAGCCCTGTGAAGGGGAAAGCAAGACAGCCAGAAGCAACCAGATAGTGCCTAAGAAGCTGAATATCTCCTCTTTAAGCCAGCTCTCTCCCTCAAAGGACAGCAAAGATACCCACGCACAACTTCAGGCTGGGGAAAGCATTTCATCAAGTCAACAGAAGACGTCACCTCCACCCCCCATACCACCACCTCCTCCCCCTGCTATACCTCCCCCTCCACCCCTCCCACCTGGACTTGGACCTTTGCCACCAGCACCTCCCATACCACCTGTGAGTGCTGGGCCACCACCACCACCACCACCACCTCCACCTCCTCCACCACCTCCACCTCCTCCACCACCTCCTCTACCTCCAAGTGCTGGGCCTCCCCCACCTCCTCCCCCACCACCACTTCCTAATGCCCTGGCTCTTCCCAACAGTGGAGGGCTGCCTCCTCCTCCCCCCGGTCTTGCACCCCCACCTCCTCCTGGGCTCTCCTTTGGACTCAACTCTTCTTCCAGCCTGTGTCCTCGTAAACCAGCCATTGAGCCCAGCTGTCCCATGAAGCCTTTGTACTGGACTAGGATACAAATAATTGATAAGAGGTAAGCTTTCCCCTGTCCTATTCACAGTATTCTGCCCCAAGTGATGTTTTATTCTTGACAGTTCAATATCTACATTGTATAACATCCATGTTCAAATGTGATATGATGATGCCTTGGATACACAAGTTCAGGGCGTCTGCGGGAGAATGCCTGTCTCTTCTGAAGAGTCCATGTCTAAGCTAGAGCCTTTTTCCAGCATCACTGTAATTGATGAATAATCATTAGGAAATTGGAGAACAGTCTATACTATAGGTTCCTTGAGGGTTTTTACAATATCTCTAAGGATACACCTACTTGGTTTTTGATCACCAACCTTGTGGTTACTTTTTCTATAGCTATGACAAATGCCTGAGAAAAACAAATGTGGAGGAATTGATTTCGGCTCACGGTTTCTCTGCTTTCAGCCTATTATGGCAGGAAAGGTGTGACAGAGCGGAACAGCTCACCTCCTGACCAGGAGGCAGAGAAGCAGAATCTGCCAGAAGCTTCCTCTTTTTCCCTTTTATTCCATCTGGGCCACCAGCCTATGGGAGGATGTGCTCACATTCAGAGGGTGAGCTCGCTACCCTTTGGTTAACTCTCTTTGGAAATGCCCTCATAGACACATGCAAAGATATGCTTAATAATTAAATCTCTTAGATGCATCTCAATACATGGGGATATATTGCAGTTATGTGTGTCAGTTGTTGAGATCATAAGAGGGTCTTTAAGTATAAACTCCTTTTTGAACTCTGGTTCATCTGACTTCTCTTACATCTTTATTCCTTATTTTGTTTTTGTTTTTGTTTTGTTTTTGTCTTTTTGAGACAGGGTCTCCCTGTAGCCCCAGCTGTCCTGGAACTCATTATGTAGACCAGAGTGGCCTTGAACTCACAGAGATCTGCCTGCCTCTGCCTCCCAAGTGCTGGGATTAAAGGTGTGCACCGCCACACCCGGCCTTTTATTCCGTTTTGATCTTCAGAGAAAGTACTGGTGTGTAGATAGTTGGTGTGACAAGCACCTTCTACTTGTAGGTATCGTTGAGCTGGGCCTGTGAGACAGAAAGTTATGGTGACTTGGAAACCTCCAAACAAACTGGAGTTTGATTTCTTGCTTCATTTCTGAACCTCACAGGAGGACAAAGAGAGATGTTGAGTTGTTTCTCAACCCCTTTCTGTTTTATAAATGTATTTGTTTACAAAGACCATATAATAAAAACACATATCTAAGTTTATTCCTCAATTCAAGATGTGATAGTGAATTTTTAAGTTTATATAGCATTTTGCTTAGGGGAAGAGGCAAAATAACATGCAATTCATAATTATAAAACAATTGGAAATCATTCTAAGAACAGGGGAAATACTACAAAACTAAGCAGGTGAGGAACAAAGTTGATGATGTACCTCATATTGTTCCCTGTCCTCTTGCCAAAAAAACAAGGGTCAAGAGTTCATTTGTGGAATTTCTAAATATATTTATTTAGTGCTGATAAAAGTACTTTATAATTTCCCAAATGAATGGCTTTAAAAATGAGACAATCCTAAAATAGTTCCTAACACTAAGGGAAGATGGTATTTCCATCTCTCATTCACAATTCGGATGTTTCCTGAAATGATTTCCTGGAATATTTGAGTTGTATTCCTTTATTAGTTCACTCAGCTCATCCTGCAGTCATTCTAAATGAGTCCCACCTGTGACCTTGGACTAGCACGTTCTGGCAGCACGTCAGACACCTATTTCTCACTAGCATGCCTCACTTCATCCTCCTAAAGACTTTATGAGCAGCCAGCACCGTAGAGCACAGCTAGGCCCTTCACCTGTACCTGTTCACATTGGTATAAATGCAAGCTGGGGAAAACATCTGCATCGTTTCCTCTTGCAGGTTCCCGTTTTGTGATGGAAAACAATCAAAAGCTCAAGCTTTTATCATTTGCACTATAAATCTAGCGCTTCACTTTCAAATCACATGGAAACTAGACAAACAGGACATCAGGAGTGATGGCTTCCTGGATGTGTCAGCCTTGAGCCTGTACCCTGGAGTGTCAGGAGCTCCCCCTCTGTGATGTGTGGTGGCTTCCTGCCAGCATTACGCATTCAGTCTCTTTCGTCATGGGTCCCTCAAAAAAAAATTAAAAAATGTACACCTCTGAACACCACTACTTTTCAATGGAAATGGTCTAGAGGGTAGTATTCATTCATGAGCAAAACTAAACATATTTGGCATGTGTTTTCATAAAGCAGATAAGATGGCATTTAAATATTTTGTGCAACCAGAGCCATAGGCACTTTGTATAATGTGGAAATGATGAATTTTCATCTTGGTCATCTGGGGAGCAAGAAGCAGTATGTGGCTGCTGTAAGAAGCAGGTGCAAGAGGAAAGATGGTCCTGCACTGTCTGACCACAGCTCACTTCCCTTTGGACACCCTCCTGAACTATCCAGAAGCTTCCTGAAGCCCAGACATATGTCATTTAACATGCCACATAATCCAAAATTCCTTGGTGCTCTTCCCTAGTCAGAAGTCCACTTTCCTTGGTGCAACAGATATCACTTACCATAATGCTGTCCATGTTTCTAGCTAAAGTTAATTGAGCACCAGAAGAACACCACTGAGGAAAGAATGCAGGGATGTACATCACTGGGGCTGTCGAAGGCCCTGGGCATTATACTTTATAGGCCATGCATATACAACGAAACAATTCAAGTAGCGTATTAGAAAAAGCATAATTAAAAAAATAAACAGGGCTGGAGAGATGGCTCAGCGGTTAAGAACACTGGTTGTTCTTGCTAAAGACCCGGATTCAAATCCCAGCACCCACATGACAGCTAAAAACTGTCCGTAATTGCAGTTCCAGGGGATCTGACAGCCTCTTCTGTCCTCCGCGGGCATTGCACAACATGGGTCACTTATCTACATGCAGGTAATGACACTCATACACATAAAATCATAAATAAAAAAATTAAAATTAAAAAGCTGGAGAGATGACTCCGCAGTTAAGAGCACTTGCTGTTCTTGCAGAGGATCACAGTTCAGTTCCCAGCATCCACATTGGTTGGCTTACAACTGCCTGTAACTCCAGTTCCAGGGGATTTCATTCCTTCTTGCCTTCATGGCCACCCACCCACACATGGCATACAGACACAGACACAAATACATACATACATACATACATAAATCCTCAGTTGTGATTAAAAGAAAATGAAATAGGTGAATGGTGCCTGAACCCAGATATTCTATTTTAGGGAAAGACAGACCTGCAAACACTGAACCAGTAGATCTGAACAGCCTGGGCTGAATTCTGTTCTATGAAAGTCACCTTTTGGTATCAATTGTTTAATATTATTTGACTAATAAATTTGCTTATTATGAGACTGGAGAGATGGCTCAGCAGTTAAAAGCTTTGGCTGCTCTTGCAGATGACCTGGGTTCAGTTCCCAGCACCCACATGGTGACTAACAACCATAACTCTAGTTCCAGGGCATCTGATGCCCCCTTCTGGCCTGCACAGGCATTGCATGCACTGGTACACTTACATATAAGCAAACAAACCACTCAAACACATAAAAATAAAAATAAATGTTTAAATAAATAAATGTTTGTTATGTGTAAAGTAAAATATATAGTATGTCATAGCAAAGTAGTTTTATTTTTTGTTTTAATTGAAAGAAGACATATTGAAACAGAAATAAATACTGTTATGTGTTATGGGTCATTCCATGCTCACATATTTGAAGAAAAAAAAATCAATATAGAAGAGATTTACTTTTTCTTTCTGTGGTGTTTAGTCTGTAGAATTAAGATACCTTGAGCAAATATCTTGATTCACTGATGTAAAGAAAGCAAAGGACGCATTCCAAATGGGGGAACTTACAGAGGCACCCACACAGGCTGGCTAGGAGAGGCAGATCTGGTATGCTTTCCAGCAGCTTGTCTTTCTCTGCTCCATAGCAGAAAATTCCTATTCCTATAAAACACAAACTTCCTGTGGATGCTTTGGAACCCCCATGTGGGGGCTGGTGCCATGGTGAAGTTTCATGGTTTTGTTTAATTGTGTTAGGTGGGGTATTATAAAGTATTTGATAGCTCGTGTGTTAAAGTCCCTGGCCTGAGATTACTTGAGGTAATCCTGAAAACTGTATTTAAAGCCAGTAGAAAAAGTCCTCAGATGGGGCATTTTTTGACCTTACTTCTCCATTTGCAGTCTCCTTAAGAATGACTTTGGGCCTGCGGGATGGCTCTGTAGGGAAGGGTACCTGCTGCAAAGCCCACTGATCTGAATTCAGCCCCAGGGACTCAGACAGTAGAAGGCAAGAACCAAGCCCTAAAAGCTGTCTTCTGACCTCCACACATACTTGGTAACATATGCACACACACACACATACACAGTAACACATGTACACACAATGAATAAATAAATGTAAAAAATTTAAATAGAATAATCTTGCCCATGTCTAGAATGGGTTTTCTCTTCTGCCTCTGTGTGGTGCCCACTAGAAATGCTGCAGCTGAGGGAGGAGCGTCTTTCATGGCCGCAGACCTCAGTCCCAGGAATTCTAATCCCAAGGACCAGCTTGTGGACTTTATCTAATGACCACATTTTGGGGGGCAGAGGGGGAGAGTGTGTGTGTACATGTGTGTTAAAATATTCTAGTATATATTTTGAGTTAAAATGAATGTTGTGAAGAGCTTTTATTCAAACTCGATTGTTTTATTTTTAAGTGACTTAGAAGAACATTTCATTGTATCATAGTCTTTTTCCACTTTGGGTCTTACAGCTAATTTGTTACCTTCTCTTTAAGCCAAAACGCCACACCAACTTTATGGGATTCCTTAGAAGAACCTCATATTCAGGATACTAGTGAATTTGAATATTTATTCTCCAAAGACACAACTCAACAGAAGAAAAAACCTCTGTCAGAGACCTATGAGAAAAAAAACAAAGTCAAAAAGGTATCGTGTGATCAATCATTGTAATTATAGATACATGGGATATTACTGTGTGCTGCTGGTTGGCTGTCTCTTTTCAGAAAATGCTTTAAGTCTCAGATGGAAAAAGTACCCAGTGGATCAAGAAATCTGGGCTTACTGTTTTGATTCTATCTTTGAATTTTCAAAATTTAACCTGGACTATAGCCATAACTCCATTGGGGAAAAAATGTATTTAAACTGCTGTTAGTGAAAGTAGTTTGTAGTCTACCTGAAAAATAGATCCCTTTGGGGCAGTGGCTATATAGCTCAGTTGATAAAGTGCTTGCTGTACAAGCATAAAGGTATTTGATCCCCATCATACACCAAGGGATAAAGAATCCAGGTGTAACAGTGAATTCATATAATGTCAGCACTAAAAGGCAGAGATAGGGCCCTGGGGCTTGCTGGACAACCAGTATAGCAAACTCCAGGCCCAGTGAGAGACCTTGTTTCAAAAAATAAGATGGAATGCACTTGAGGAAGACACCCAGTGTTAACCTCTGGCCTCCAAATATATGCACACTGTCTCACACATGCACATGCACACATACACATGAACGTGTACATAGGTGAACATGTACACACGTGCATACACAAATGGATCTCATTCCCAAAGTCATTTGTATAAAAAACTTATTAGGGTTTTATGGTATAGGGCCATGTTCTAGGCCTGCACTAGAATATGGTATCATGTAGCCACTTAAATAAGAACATTAAGCAAAATAGAGTATTCAGTCTTGAATTATGCTGACAGCTTTCCAGTGTTCTTGTGGCTGGTAACTACCAAGTAGAGTCACACAGTAAGTTCTGTTGGACAGCACTGTGAAAGTATTAGGGATATATTAAAGGGAAAAGCAACCGTGAAAATAGGTGTTGCCGTATAGAGTTTATATTAACAGTATTACAAGCAGGCCTTGAAAATCACATAGCAGAAGAGAGTGGGAGGATCCCCATGGACAGGGTAGGGTGGGATGGGGACTACAGTTTAAATGGGGTTTCAAGGCAAGTCTCATTGAGAAATGAAGTCTGTGCAAATACTTGAGGACTTTCGAACCAAAAGCCACTAGTCATCTGAAAAGAGACTGTATAATCATCAAATAGGCAGAAGTTAGGCCGAATCTTCCCTCAGCCACATACAATGTGACCTGAAAGAGAGCCACTGGGTTTTGCACACTCTTAATCCCTTAGCCCTAGCAGGAGATAACATCAGCAGCGGTTTAAATAGGTCCCCAAAGCCCTTGTGTTAAAGCTGTGGTTCCCAGGGTGATGCTTCTAGAACATTTAGGAGATAGGGTCTTTAGGGAAAGGGCTTTAGGTCACTAGGGGCATGCTCTCAAGGGAATCGTGGAATATTGGCTGCCTCCATCTTTTCTTCCCCCTCTTTGCTCTCTCTTGCTCCCTTTCTGGCTTATGAGGTAAACTGAGCAGTTCTGTTTCCTGCATTAATATTAATGCATTAATATTAATATTAATATTCAGGCCCTTACCAAAGGCCTGAATCCTGATTTTTAAATGGAACATCCAGAACAATAACAAGCCAATGTAAACCTTTTGTCTTTCTAAGTTATTTGCCTTAGGGTATCTTGTTACAGTGCTGGTAAACTGACTAGCACAACAGCCACTCAGAATGCTTTTCTGTGATTACTAAATGAACTCATATGTATGTCAGGTTCAGCATAGCTTGTGGTCCATGATCAGCCCTCATTCTATGATAGCTGATTGTTTTTGCTACTGTTACTGCCAATGCCACTGTTTCATTGCATTTGTGTTTTGTTAATAGCAGAGAGGGTTTAAGGGCACAGAGTTCTGCTGTGGATTGGCTATGTCAACCTGGAGTGATTGTCTTCCTCCCCATATGTTCTCTTTTCTATAATATGGTATTAACAATTTCAAGTCTACCTGAGCCACCAGGATGTTGTGAAATTCAAATTTAGAAGGATTTGAGGAAGTAAAACAAAAATATATATTGAATGGTTTTGCTGTCACATCAGCATTTCCTTCTTAGAGTATATGGTGGGGTTCATCTGTGTGCTTATACTCCCTCTGCCACTGCAAACAGAACTATGTCACCATGAAATTGATTAGCTTACAAAAAGACAGGAAGTGTCTGAATGCAGTTGTGTTATGCATGTAATTTTCCCCTTGACTTGAAACCACGAGCAACATTTCTCATCTTTCACATTCACTAGAACTGTGTCATCATGAGAAAAACATGATCCCAATAATGATTAGATATCAGATTGAGCCTTTTAATTGTTTTATTTTTTGAGACAGGGTCTCACTATGTAGCCCTGGGTGATCTGGAATTTGCTATGTAGACCTGACTGGCCTTGAACTTGCAGAAATTCACCCATCTCTGCTTCCTGAATGCTGGGATTAAAGGCATGGGCCACCACATCTGGCCACAGTGCCTTTTTTAAGAGAATACATTACATGGAACAAATTGAGTTTTTCTAAAAGAGCAATACCAGGCAAACAGTCAACTGAAAAGCCATGAAAATGTATTCCAGGGCAGTTAGGTTTCTGTAGGTAGAGAGTGTGCATACCCTGTAGTCAGGCTGGCTTTTAATTTTCTTATTTTTATTGTATGCATATGCATATTTTGCCTCCGTATGTAAGTGCATCCATATGTGCAATGCCAGAGGCAATCAGAAGAGGGCGTCAGATCCCCTGGGATTGAAGATACAGACAGCTGTGGGTCCTGGGAATCCATGCTCTCTGCAGGAGAAGCCAATGCTCTTAACCACTGAACCATTTCTCCAGCCCCAAGGCTGGCTGTATTAAAAACCACCTGTCACTATATGAATAGGAAAATCCAAAGGGAAAGCCCTACATTCCAAAGACAGACTCAGTTTACCTCTGCTAGTAAGGCTTCTCTAAGGAGACACTCCAAATAGTATCTTACAAAATATCATATTAAATTCACCTGTATTCTGTTTCTTCTTAGATTGTGATTGCTCCTTTCTTTTCTGAGTGAATGTTTTGGTAACATGTTATTTCCTCCTAGAATGAATTATTCTTATTTTGGTAAATGAATATTTGTTTTAAAATATGGAAGCATTTGGTCATCCGTTCTGGGTTCTTTTCTCCTAATTGTTTGCCTAGTCAGCAGTTGATTTTAATTAAGGCAATTAGTACTTGATTATTTATTTTGTTTCTCTGTCTGAAGGAGAAACATACATCCTTTGAACTCCTCAAGCTTTCTACATGATGAGGTTCCATCACTCCGTAGTATCTGTGTGCACGTGTAGTGTTTTCTGTGGGTGACAAAGCCAGAAATGTGGGTCCTCAGGACCTCGTGGGAGGGATGCCATTTGGAGTTTTCAATGAGCTTTGTAGCCTACCTTATGTTGAGATTTTTAACTTGTATAGAGAAGAGGATGCTGAATCACTGGCAGAAGACTGCAAAGCTACCCCTTTGAGCTTGCCTCATGCCTGTGGCCAGATTTCAGACATCAAGAGATCTCTTTTGAGAATCAGATGTTCGTTTTCTTTTCTCTTGAAATAAAAATGAAAGTGACTTTCGGAGGTTGTATAGCACTGAGGAGTTTCGGCTTTGGGGGCCAACTACTTAGCATACTCACGAGATGGATTCCCAAGAAGACAACTGAGAAAACACTTGCCAAATGGGCCTTTTCATAATGACTGAACTGAAGAGGGAGCTGTGTATGTTGAGCATTAAGGCATCTGAGTCTTTGGTGTAGGAGCTCAGCCAACATGGAGACAAAATAGAGCTGGTGTATTCCACATGAATGTTCCAGAAATAATGGACAGCGTTGTCTAGAGTCTGCTGAATTCAGGTGTGAACATCTAGTTTCAACCTTTATAATGGTGTTTACCTTTCCCAATGCTGATCTTGCCTTAAACTAATCCATATTTATGTGTGTATATACATACATATATACATATGGATTCTTCAACTGCGCTGTAATCTCTTTCTGTAGTACATAGACTAAGAATTAGAAGGAACCTTACTTGTCACATATGTAGTTCTTTAAAAAAACTTTTTAAAATATTTATTTTATGAGTGTTTGCCTGCATGTATGTACTGTGCTCATGCAATGCTCATGGAGGCCAGAAGAGGGCATAGAATCAACTGGAACTGGAGTTACAGATGGTTGTTGGGCACCATGTGGGTACTGGAAACTGAATCCAGGTCCTCTGCAAGAACAGCCAGTGCTCTTAACTGCTGAGCCCTTTCTCCAGTCTCAAGTAAGTAGCTCTGATCTCTAATTAGCACATCGGAATGGAGACTTAGAAAGAAGTGACTTCTAGGGGTTTGCACATCTGTAACTAGAAAGGTGTTGAGGCTGATGTGCAAAAAAATTAGCATATGTGTGTGGTTTCCTTTTATTTAGATGATAATTTGCCACACTGTTGATAGTCATTATTGAGATGATTGATTTGAAATTTCTGAATAAGAACAGCCATCATTATAGGAAACAATAGCATTACACTTGATCAATTCTGAATAAGTTTCATACATTAGATTATGCAAAGTATTCTTCAGTCTTGTTTATAAATTACTGTAAAGCTTTAAAACAAAAGTCTCACCAGATGTTTTAGCACTCACCTGTAATCCTAGTACGGAGGAGGAAGCCGAAGCAGGTGGATCATGCATTCTAGGCAGGGCTACATGAGACGGTCTGAAAACAAAAGCATAATCTAGAACATCACTGAAGTGGTTAGAAAATGCCATCAGTGTGTTCATTCCGGAACTGTTTGCAAATAGTTTCCAATAATCTTTGGTTTTTCAATATTTATAGAAACCTTCCATGACTTCCTTTAACAATGTATTCAAACATCTAATAGTTCACTACAGGTTGGCTTGAGCACTCTCCTTGCTCTATAAAGTAAGTGCTTGCACTGTCAAAGTGCCCGTATTTACACTGTCCCTAAGTTACATTTGTTCCTGAGCAAGAAGGTCAGTGCCTTGACAAGGATCCAAAAATCTGCCCCCATTGTTTGAGGCACTTTCTCTT